TGTTACGGAAGGACTGTATTAAGGCTGGTTTAAAATGAAAATAAGTGACAAAAATATAAAGAACAATCAATATGGCATAACAAAACAAACGGTATATAAAAACAAAACTTCAAAATATAAAATTCAAATGTATATAAAAAACATAAAAACTATCAAAAAGGTTGCCATCGGCAACAACAGGTTTTTCTTTTTCTTATTTTTCAGAGACTTAACAAAAAAACAAACGTCATGACAAAGATTAGAGGTAAGTTTAATAGGACAAATCAAATTGAGTAAATGATATATTTACTATATTTTTGTTGCTCTATTACCCAATATTTTTTTGCCAAAAGCATTATAGCATTATGTTTCCCAATAGTTCAACATTTATAAATCCAATAAAATAAAGAAAATATATAAAAAATCTATCATATTTCCCTTTACTTATTTATTAACATAATAACCATTAAATGTAATACTATCCATTCGATCAGAAAAAGCCGTTCACATCTAGTGAATTTAATGAAATTCTTATCAGCAAGCGTCAGAAATTTCAGTCGAAACTTTAGATTTGTCACTTCATAGTAGACCCCCTAGAGCCCTTTTACAAAAGTTCGTCGCCTAAATGAGCCCGGTCGGGAGTCTGGCCTCATTTAGAAGATTAATGTGCTCAACTATAAATCCTTTGAAGGTTGTCAATGTAAGACGAGTCATATAATGTTGTTAATATTTATAAAAGTATCAGTCTATTGAAAATCATACTTTTTTGACAACAACCGTCGCCTATATAGCTAGACAATACCACGGATATCAAAAACAATCGTTGCCATTCTGGAAAAATTAAACATTTGATTTTTTTTTAAATCCATACACAGATATATGTATATTAATATATTTTTAGTGTACTTACTAGATACATACATATATAAAACAACCAGAGTGATACAAACAATCATACTCATAAATACAAATATTTATAACGTGCGAGGATGCGAACATGCGACCACCAGAAGAAGTACTATATCGCAAGACCAACGAAGTCGTCATATATATAAAAATAAAAAATAATTATAAAAATTATGTATGTAAATAGTTCATAGATGCACGAATGACACAGTTTAATATCACATTGACAGATATATCTGATCGAAATCGAACCTGCATATGCAAATGGTCGTATACATAGGCACAAAAATAATGCATACATAAAAATACTTATACTGGCTTGATTAAACCAACAAGTCAAGTCTTCCAATTTGTCTGAATTAAACAAATCGATCTGATCAATCAGCAAATGTATAGACAGAGCATGCTACTGATAACTATGGTCAAATGCATTGCATATACAGAACTGAAATGTTAGTTCATATGTTCTCAACTTGCCGAGTTACATTTAACACATTTGGCACACTGAACTATAGCTTTAGTTTGCATCTCTCTGATTACTTTAGTTTGTTATCGGTGTTTCCCACCAAAAAGTTGGTCGGAAATTTAAATTGACAAAGTTTCTCGTATTGGCAAGAGTCTGTCATACGGTATTAATGTTCTAAAAATAGGGTTAATATTCTGTCTATAAAAATCAATTCCAATAATAGATAATTTTTACGAATAAATTTACAAAATTATCGTATATAACGATTTTATTATAATATGAAATTAATAATTAATATTCTGTCAGATAATTCCTAATTATATACATAACTGTAATTTCCCCACAAATAATCATCAAAATCGACTCAATAAACCGACTTAGTAAAACTGACATTAGTTTTGATATTCATTCATTTGATATGAATCGCATATTAAGACCCGCCAAATAAACTTTTATCTTTTGTATTTTGTGCACTAAAGTTACATATAATAATATGAACATGAAATAATGGCTTTAAATAGGTCAGAAAGTTTCATAGCAATTTATCATTTTACCTGAATAGACAAATTTATGGTAAGAAAGTTTCAAGAATTATAAATTAACTCCACAATACTACTTACAAATGATTTGTGATGCTGTTAAGATTATTCTTCAGTTAAGGCCTTAGGCTGTCTACTGCCTACGAAAATAAGGACATGGAAACATTTATTTATTTATTCTATAAGAACTCAGATATGTGACAGGGGTAAAATACCGGTAGGAAAAAAAATAAAATAAGAATGTAAAAATTTGACGGCTAAAATGTCCTACATGAATAAATGATTTTTGAATTTGAATTTGAATTTAGCCTCAAGGCTAGAACAGATCTCTCACTCAAGGATTCGCAATTGAGATATGCATGCAATCTCAATAGTTACGTAAGCTTATAAAGTTTTAATCTGACACTGAGGGACGAGCTTAGTAACTTTACATTCTCGCACTATATTAAGTTCATATATAACTACATTGTTTATAAAAGAGAGGTATAATATGGTTTACTACATCGACTAATGTCAAAAAACTAAACTTACGACTTCAATCTGACTGCTGATGTACCGGAGATGTATAAAAAACCTTTAGTGTCAAAATAATTCTGACTGGCTCTCCATTGAAAATAATCCGGTAAACGGCACCGGCAGGGTCGCCATCAGCATTGGCTTGTAATGTTACTAACGAGATATTGGCATGTGAAGTGTTGCGTTCACCATGACGTCAACAATTGACAGTGCCTATAACTATCCCCTTGGGATACGAGTCGTGATACTATATTGCGGTTTATTATTTATTTATTTATTGTTATATCACAAAAACCTAATACACATGGATACAGAGAAATATTATCACCTATACCTGTTCTGTATACATGAACAGAATCATAGACTTCACGTTATCAAAAGACGCTCGTAATACTACTCATGCCTTGCTATTCTGGAGGACTAAGATCTCATGCCTCCTCATTATCTACTTAATTAATATCACTACTTTTCACTTTACAATCAAAACACAGCTTACAAAGCAATTTGATTAGTGGTTGAAAATGTTAAACTGAGATAAGAATGCAGGCGACTCTTTTCAAAGTCTACCTTTTTTATTATTAGACATGCTTATAATTGTGAGGTTTCGATAATGGCAGAATATCAGGTTTTTATCAGCATATTACACGTTCGAGGGCGAAACAATAAACCGAGTTATGACAATTTTTATTACTGCGGCGCACACACGTTTCCAATTTTGTTAATCACATTGTTTATTTTATTTTTTATTATTGTTAATATTTTGTTTCCAGACTCATTATTGGCATGTGATGCGGAGATGTAAATACATATAATTCATTTCATGACACATACCACTGTACCAAGACAACTTACCGCTTACCGTCAGATAACCTGCTATTCCTATTACTTAAAAATACATTATCTTGACAATGAATTACTTTACAACAATAATAACAATTTATTTACCTAAACTGCATTAAACTTGGTACAATGTTGTAGGCTGGCTTTAAAAATATACTTTAATAAAATCTCAACAACGTCGTATTTAATTATTTTTAAAAAATCATTTGTAATGACTCCAATTTATATTGAGTGAATGTACTTGAGCTGTTGAATAAAACAAACAATTGCTACGTAACCCAAATCGAAATGGATTCTTTACTTCCCTAAAAGCGTAACTAAGTCCTATACTAACATAATCAGTGAGGTTGAAAACTGCGGTTATTTAATGATATATTTATAGAAAGAGTATACTCGAGCTAAGTATAGAATCAAAAGTTTCTACATAAAATATATGTCAAAGAAAGTTCCGAAATCTTATGACAACATTACAGGTGATAGTTTCGTAAGTTTGGTACGAAAGAGTGTTTACTATCAGTAATATTGGAGTAAGTAGAAAAAATATGACACTATTTATTTTCGTATATATTGAAGCATATAGTTACTTACATCATTCATATCCATTTATGTCAGTGATCACAATTTCTTGCTGTCACTGAATCAAATAAACTTGGATTCAATTAGGTACTTACCTACATAACGTATATCTACAGTTACAACCGTAAACATATCGAATTGAGATATTGAACCTTAGAGAGATAGACAAATATCAAAGGTACTAGTAGTCAGTATTATTATATATTTTTTTAGGAGCTGTACCCGCGACTCCGTCCGCAAGGAATTAAACTTTATTTTTCTAAAATAAAAGTAGCCTAAATAACTCCTTATTATATCATCTACCTGCCAATAAAAGTCCCGTCAAAATTGGTCCAGCTATTTCAGAGATTAGCCGGAACAAACAGACAAACAAAAATTGTAAAAAATGTTATTTTGGTGAAATGTACCGTATTTATATTCATAGGCATGTAGTAAAAAACGGTTATTTCAATATTACAAACAGACACTACAATGTTATTTATATGTATAGATATGTATGTAATCATTGATATATAGACATATATACCTTGTATTAGCGAACGTAGGTACATCTGCCTGACCTATTTCGATCGTCAATCATGTTTTGAAAGCTGTGTTATGGTTTCAACGATCAGATATGTCAATAAAATACAAGATAAGAAAACATAACTGTTGAGAAAGTCCTATAAAACAAAATTATATATATATATATATTATGTCACTTCACTGTCTTTACAACTACTATTAAAATATTTATCCCTTTATAAATTGACTACATATTTCTACAACAATAACATGGTCAGACAGTCAATCAGTCTGTCAGGAATGACAAGGCGTACATAACAACAAGATATCCCTGGTGATATTCATGTATGTAGCTAACGGTTTTCATTATATAAAGCGTTAATTTAACCAGTTATATAAAAAATGCATAGTACATAAAAGAAAATATATTTTCATTTCCATCATCTATACCAGTAATATTACAAAAAGATAAAGTTTATAAGGTTAGAGCTAATAACTACTGAACCAATTTGGAAGAAATTTTAATACTGGATAGCTCAGGAAGACTATGTAACATCGCACCAATAGAATCGGAACTGCAAAATGCTGAAAAATGTTGCAATAACGGAGAAAAAGTGGCACAAGAAGCCGCGCGGGTCAACTAGTTAAAAAAAACATTGTAAGTTTTCTCTTACCTATCTACAGATATGCAGACCAACACGTTAGACGATAAATACAGTCCAAATGCTCGTAGCACCAGAAAAAATTTACATGCGAGATTTCCTGCCAGCCACGCGTTGGTTGTCCGCCAACCAATCTGAAAAAATAAATGCATTTTATTATACTAGATATTATAAATAAAATAATAATAATATACCGTCACGAATGTTATCCCAGATAGAGTAATCAGAGGCGTTGTTAACTGTCGGTGTTACGGTAACCGGCGTAGTAACTCTTCATAATAATATGTCATGTCAATATTTCGCCCTTAGTTGGAATCTCAATCAAACATATACGGATATCAACTAAAGAAAGTAAAAGCTTTTTCCTCATCGTTTTAATTTGGTTGTTTTCAAGTAGAGATTTTCTGGTATCGATTAAAATTTAACTTAACTTATAAATAAAAAGAAATACGACCTACAATTGTACCTAAAAATATAAATTAATAATAAAAATACATAAGTATTGTTCTATAGTATATATTGGAATTTATTCAAGGAAAGGTTTCGTAGAAATATATGAAATCAGTATTCAGAATGGAAAATTAAATAAACTGTATAAAGGCTCGATGTCGTGGGTTGTAGGGATCGCAATGGTTTTTCTACGAGTTATTTCCTAGACAAAGCACATACTTTATATAACAATGTGAATTCTGATTATATTACTGTTATACTGTAATGTAGTTTTGCCTTCAGACGAAATAGTCTATTAAACTACACGAATTAAATAAAAAGGTAACATCGGAACAAGAGTGGGGAGCTCCCTGAATCGCCTTGTGTGTAGCGAAAACAGGACCAATTTCTAATACTATGCGCGTCGACCATTTCATATCCTTACTACTATTATAAATAAATATCTCATGACAATTAACGTAGCACTATCTAGTCCCGTGGTAAGCAGAGCTTGAGTTATGGATACCAGACAACAGATTTAAATACCTAGATTTTTTTAAATACATGCATGACATACGTAGAAAATACTTTGACCGATAGAAACAATCATACTCTAGAATATAAATGTTTGTACTATGCGAGGAATGGAACCAGCGACCATCGGAAGCAAAGCGGTGTACTAAACCGCTAGGCACCGAGGCTGTCGAATCTGATTCAATATTTCCTCTGATTTCAGCGTTGTGTGTAGGCCGTTTTACCTACCAGGTTTTCGAGCCAAAACACGAATGTTTACAATAATTCTAGTCCTTATATATTATTAATACATTTATGTAAGTTAATTAATGTAAAGACCTATATTACTACATTATATTATGGGGAAATATTTTGGGTATGCTAGCTAATGTTATGAATGAAGAAAATGAGTTTGTTTATTACGCTTTCATGCCTAACCTATTAAATCGTATATAATTAATTTCAGTATAGAGATAGCTGGAATTCTGTAAATTATTAGAAGCTTTAATCATTTCCAGAACAAAATTTTCGTAACTTTCGATGTTTAAAATTTTGTAGCATTATTCTTTATAACTAATATTTGAAATAATCAACATTAAGGCGGGCGAAATCGCTAGTAAACTGTAGTAATTATGTAACAATACTTATTAATATTAAGAAAGCGAAACTGTATCTATCTGTTTCTTTACCCTTTCGTGTACTAGTAGTTGCAAGGATCGTAATGAAATGTGTTTATCTTTTGTATCAAAAATAGATGCCATGAAACTTTATTTTAATCAATACACATACTAAAGTCAGTGTACATCCTTTTTCATCTTGTTTATCTTTTAGATTAGATCATATCTGTGATCGTTTTATATTCGCATATATGTTCATTTAGGTTGTCTATCAAAAGGCGGACTACGATAATATTGATATTCTCTAGACAGGCAACAGGTTGTTATTACAGATGTACCGTATAATTATTTGCCACCAATGTGACTACAAAACAATCCGACTTTATCTAGCACTAATAGTAGTAATACTAATAGTTTTAAAAAATGTAATACTGCGCTTTTTTTAAATTGCCAGTAATGACTATAAGAGTAGGTACAGAACAATGGAGTAGAATATTCCATCAATAAAATATCGACGGCAAATAGATTTCGTGACCGATTCTCAGTTAAGTCAATTTAGGACGAACTTTTTCCAATTAACTCGCGACTGTATATTCTGTAATGTCTCTGTATTCTTATGAAACATTCACATATTTCTATTTCTGGAACTAGAACCTGTTTTAGAAAGAAAATTTTTATAGTTTGTCAGAACTTTTTTCTAAGAAACATTTGCCTGATATTAATAAGTACCTACTAGAGGAAGATCGCAAAAAATGGTTTGCGTGGGCATCGTAGTCTCACCTATTTTAGTCGCTTAAAAACCTGCGATCTATGCTAAGTTTAGTTTGTTGGGTGCTATTATGTAGTATAAATATAGGATAAGAAACATGACATCTTAGCCATCTGGAATGGCAAAGCATGAGTTCTATCACGGTCATCATATAATTACGTATTTTACTACGATGGTGGCAAACAGGCATACGGCCCATCTGATAGCAAATGATTATTACCTATGGATGCTTGTAACACCTGGGGTGTTGCATGCTACGTGCGCATCCCAGCCTTAATATAATATCTATGCTGTTTATTTACATGTATAAGCGATAATCATGCTCTGAATGCATGTGTTTTATGATTTCAGTAGTGCTATTTATGTATATAGGCGACGCTTACCACTTACCAGTTACCATCAGATTGTTTATCATTCCCATTACATAAAAGAGATATACACCAACAGATATCGTAATTATTTCGTCATTCGAACATTGAATTTAGCTTTTTATCACCATATCATTCATAACGTAAAGAATCCTTACAAGTTAATATTCAAATATACTCAAATACGTTCAATATTGAATTGTATTTATTAGAATTCCTCAATTGTTTACTATTTATGAATATAATTTATATTTAAGAATAAATTAATAATAATTTTTTAATAATATATAAAGGCTTTGTGTAGTTTTTATATTAAAAGATGTTCGTCCATCAATTAATTCAAACATCACCTGTTATTGGTAGGTACCTTCATAAAGAAATTAACTGAATGTTCAATAATAATTTAACCTACAAATTAATAATAATAATAAATAAATAATATCAGAACAATTCAAACAGCACCATCTAGACCCAAGTTAAGCTATCTAAAGCTTGTATTATGTGTATTAAATACCTGATGCAAATATGTACATAGATACTTTTTATGTAAATATTTTACATAATATACATAGAAAACACCTATGAACTCATGAATACAAATGTTTACACCGTGCGAAGAATCGAACCCGCGACCGTCGGAAGTAAAGCGGTGTGCTAAACCGCTAGACCACCGCGGTCGTTAATAAGAAGCCGTTAACAAAAAAATATACAGTAAACAGTAAAAGATCTATATATTTCACATTAAAAAATAATAATATACAACTCTATATATATTCTCAAGGAGATATCCTTGGGAATATAGATAATCCCACAAAAACATATTCATATAACAACAAGTAAACAATACAATTATACATACACGCATATATATTTATATATATACACAGAAAAATTACAAAAATATATATTATATATAAAAACTAGCTGACACAGAAATTTTTATATACATTATAAATAAATAAAAATAAAATTTGTTGACAGGGTGTCAACAAATTTTATTTTTATTTAACCTTATTTTTTTTGACAAGTTTTTCTTGTCAAAAAAAAGGGTTAGGGGTGGATAACCTATCACTTATATGTAAGAAAAATAGATAGTAGCCGATTCTCAGACCTACTGAATATGCATATAACATTTCATAAAAATCCGTGAAGCCGTCGAAGGAGTAAAAAACTACACTATAACATGAGAATTTTATTATATTAGGTTTATGATTGTTAACATGGCCGACTCTCTCAGCATATGCCGTGGCAGCTAACTGTCGCGGTGCTAGTATTCCATGCCTACTACAAATGATATCACGTACAACTCGGTGTCTCTGTACCTTTGCCCTTCGATAGCAGTAAGGATCTCTCCACCGCTAGCGACAGATGACATTCAATGTGTCTAAAGATGCTAAATAGATAAATAACTTGAGACAATTCATTCAGCTTTAAAACTCAGCAAGGAGGTGTCGAGCAAGGATCGACGATCTGGTCAAGACCGCTGGGAGGCGTTTGATCGATGCGAGCAGCAGAAGACCGATCGTCGTCAAAACATTTGTGGGACGGATACTTCCGAGCCCAAATGATGATGATGATGACGACTGCTTGTGTCGGTGGTTTGTATTAGAGACATATTTAAAAACATTATTGTTTTAATTTAGAAAGCATACATTGAATTTAATAGAATACAAATATTATGCGAGAATCGAAAACTCGAATCTTCGAAAGTGCAGATTTGCCCAATAAAGCGAGTGTTTCCTCATTTGCTAGTTTATTCTTACTATCAAAAATTTATACACCAATGCCGACACAGTAAATTCACTGCACTACACGAAGACTCATACAATTTCCGGTCGCAATTTTTGTTTAATCAATCTTTCAGATTTCAATCTTCAAAAAGATAGCAAACGTCTTCCCGATTCCAGAAATATTTGTATTTCGATCGCCTCTTTTATCATTTTATGGATATTATGAATCTCCACTGATAAAACCTACCGTTGAATAAAACGTAGTCATAATTAAAAATATTGCAGCGAATAATGGAATAATAATTAAAAATAATGACCATAAAGGCACCATTAAAATGTATAATGGGCAAAGTAGCCTCCAAAATACTTTGCGTTACTCTGCTATATATCTATGTGTAAGAAATTATAATACGTTTTATATTTGATAGTTCTCTTCTTCCTAAATAAAGTTAGCTTAGATAGATAAATAGTTTACTTTATGTTATATATCTTATGTATAAAATTCTCGTGTCACAATGTTAGTTACCATACTCATCTGAAATGGCTTGACTGATGTTTATGAAATTTTATATGCATATTCAGGAGCTCAGACCTCCTGAATATGCATATATTTTTCTATGTTTTACACCACTAAGTGATAAGGGTTGTCCAACCCTAAAATTTATTTTATTCTGTACATATTTATTTTATAATGTGACATTAAAATAT